CATAAACCAGCAGTGCCACCTAAAGAAGATACTGTAGTCCTTCTCTAGCCTCTCATTTCCAACCCTAACATGCCTCAGAAGCAAACATTGATGTAATTGTATGATGAAAATCAACAATAAGTGTTTTTCAGCCAGGCCAGTTCACTACTGCTTAAACAGCTGTGCTCCCACACAAAGACAAGGAACAGGACACAGTGGTTTGGGGCGAAGACAAGACTCCTGCTTTTTTGGTATTGCTGGCATATGTTGATTTAAAGAAACTAATTTGGCAAACATTAATCTTTTACACAATATGGATAGCTACAGCAGGGATGATACATATTTTTCAACTGCCACATGATTGTCCATGTGAAAAATAAAATGTTGAAGAACAACATTGATGCTCTTGTGCGCCATAACACGTCACAGATGCTTTTTGTTGTGATACTTGCTAGAAACACTGCAAAAATTAAAAAGTGGTTTTATTTCTGGTAGTCCTGTGTATTCCTTACAAAGCCTTTATGCTTAACTCCATTTGTAGGTATTCAAATTCAAAGCAGCATATGATCAGTAGCTTTATATATTGTTTGTAAATGGTTACTTTTTTTAGCCCTAGCCACTGTTAGTAAGTGGACATAACTGATTGAAGCAATGAGAATATATTTGCTTCCTGGCAGTATGTACCATAAATTTATGTGGTTGTAAAATTTGTTCTACTTAGAACATAGACTGTAGAGAAATAAAGAAACCAAGCTTATTTTTTTTAAGTTGTACAGGACATGATCTCACAAAATAACTCTCCTTTTAAGGAGATTAGATGCTTTATGGTTAATGTAAGTGTTCAACACTGAGGTAATCTACCACCTTCTTTTAAAATGCTTGTCTCCCCATATGGTACTTTTTCTCACATTTCATATTATTTTGTTAATCATTGTCATTAAGTATGTAGCTATTTCGGGTTCAGTAAAGGTCAGCTGATTCGATAGGTATAAGGGAATACCAGTAAAGGATACTACATTGATTGCCTAGGTGAAAGGAAAGTAAGTGACTGGTGGTCAGTAAAATAACTGTCATCTTAAAAACTTACATGAGTGACTGTTTGACTACTTTGAGATGTTATTTTGCAAACACAAGGAGGCAGGCTTTGATAAAAAAACGTCTGGCCTGTGTAATAACTAAAGAAATTATATCTCTAACCATGCCATAGGCAGTTCGACTCAGAAGTTATTTTTTGAAAAATTGCAAGGTTTGAGAGGTAGTTTTTCTCTTTGTTTAAAGCAAGATTTTCCTCAATAGCTGTTATTTCAGCCTTTCAGTAGTGTTAAGTTCTTTTCAAAGATGATGGGTAGTTTACTTTATATGTCTGTACTTACTGGCCACTGATGTTCTAATTCAAAAGTATTGAGAGAATGTAGTGAGTTGCCAGAAAAGCATTGATGTTTCATGATGTGTACCTTCCTAACACAAAACAGTGTTTGGATATCCAGTGAATGCAACATGAAAAAATATTTTAGTAACTTCAGAAAAGCAGGGCTATAATGATTTTTGCTTTAAAGTCTGCTAAACATCAGAAAACAGTCATGTGAGATCAGTAGACATGATTGGTTTAAAAAAAGGTGTGAAGAAAATCTACAATTTTCAAATTCTTGAGATAGAAAAGGACCAGAGAAATCCTTCTGAAGGATCTTACTATTGTGTTGACCTTTCTGGTTTTTGTGGGATCAAGCAGGAGAGAAAAGCAAAAGAGACAATTTTTTTTCTACAACTAGTTGACAACCTCTGGAATCAAAAGTCATTCAGCTTTTAACAGAAATACCCATCTGTTAAATGTGACTGGCTTTTTACTTTCAAGTTTAGTCTGACATCCATGAAACAAGCTTCTCACTGCATACCGATTATAAGTTGGTTTGTTTTTTTTTTAAAATTAAAAAAAAGACAAAAAATAAAGTTCATGGCCTGACTCAGAACTTGGGAAATATAGTTACTGTGTAATTTTACAACAGAAATACTGTTAATTTTTTACTGATCCTTGCTCAAAGCAGAGGACTAATAACAGACAGATATTTTAATCAAGCTTTTAATTTATTCAACTTTTTATTGTATCTTGATGCATTTTGAATGACTAATTTAGAAGATGCATGTAATTCAGAAGTAGTAATGGAAATAAAAGTAACTGGTATTTGCTGTATTTCACTGCAGAGGTTCTGCACATACTGACTTCTTTTACTGGGACACTGTAGAATTGAAATGCATAAAATAATGTTCTTATTCCTAATCTAACAAGATCAAATTTCTGAGCTTTCCATTTTAAATATTCATTTTTTGTGCTAGTTTTATATAACCCATTTGTAAAAGCACATTTTCCATATTCTCATATTGCTGGTGGCAGAAAAGAGTGCTACTAATACTACAAATTATTTAAAGCCTATTATTAGAGATTACATTCTGAAGAATAGATTTAATCTGTTCTTTAGTCAGGATAAATTAATTGAAATGGTCAAATATTTAAGAAGTAGATATCCATTTCATACAGTACTGTGAGACTTGTTTTGATTGTGCTATGAGTATAAACTAAAAGTATTTCTCCATTTCTTTTTTTTGCTGTGCTTTCTATTTTTTCTGTCTTCAGTCTTAGCTTGTTTGCTCTGATTTGTTGCAAAGATTTGTCAGTGGGAAAACTGTGCTTTTAAAACTCTGGTTTGTGGAGACAGAAAAACAGAAGTGATTGGAATAACAAAGATAAATCCATAAACCCCACAGTCCTCAAAGCAAACTGTGGGCAGAAGCAAAAATTAAAGATGATGTTAACTACTCTGCAGTGGTTTTGGCACTTGCTTTGATTACATAGGTAATATTTAAAAATAACCTGTTCTGACAGAGATAGGAATTAGAACATAAAATAGAACCAAGTGTATATCAGAGATTGAAACTTTATTTCTGAGGTATGTGTATTTGTATAAAACTCCTAAAGTTCAATTGTACGGTGTAAATATACTGACATGCATTTTTTCCACCATATAATTCAGAGGTTTTTGGTGGATCTTTATTCAACTTGAACCTCTGGAAGTAGAATTAAGAACTGTCTTTTCCTGCCCGAGGTTTGCTGCTGCTTCTGAAGAAGGAATGCATCAATATCATCATTCCTAATTTGCAGAATCACAGAATCATTGAGGTTGACTGAAACTTTGTACGTCACCTAGTCCAATCCCCTGCTCAAAGGATGATCACTAGTGCAGGTTGGTCAGGACTGTACAGGCAGCTTGTGAATATCCCCAAGGATGGAGACTCCACAGCTGCTGGGAGCAACCCTTTCCAGTGTGTGATTATCCTCATAGTAGAAGATTTTTCTTATGTTTAAATAGGATTTCCTGTATTTCATTTTGTGCCCATTGCCTCTTGTCCTGTCACTGGGCACCACTGAGAAGGGTCTGGCTTTATCTTCACTCCCCACTACCCCTCCCCACGTCAGGTATTTATGCACATTGGTAAGACCCTCTGAGCCTTCTCTTCTCAAGACTAAACAGTCCTAGCTTTCTGCCTCCCCTGGTGTGACAGATGTTCCTAGCACTTCTTCATCTTTGTGGCCCTTCCTGTGTGTCATGTACTGGGAGCCTGGAACTGGACCCAGCACTCCAGGTGTGTCATGCCAGTGCTGAGTGGAAGGGAAAGATCACCTCCCTCAACCTGCTGGCAATGCTTCTCCTAATGGATGCTGTTAGCAATTAAGGTCAGGACTGCACTTTGGAAACTTATGTCAGGTCATGCTAATCTAGGGTGCTTTGTTTCACCTCATGGAGTAGTTTGAGAACATGAAATAGGTTTCTTCCAGTTTAAACCAAACTGGAGAGTGTTCCACAGGAGTGCTTCAGATTTGTGCTCTAATCAATACAAGCTGGTTTATCCGCATGACCATAATTAATCCAAAGTAGCTGCCTTATCCTCCTGTTGCCTTCTTGAGATCTCAATTACTATAAATCCTACAGTTAAGGTAGTTCTTCTGTTTTAATTAGAAATATTTAATTTTCTTTATTAGACTATAGAGACAAGCTTTGAAAAATACTGGGAGTTTAAATACTGTGCAAAAGCTTAGAAACCTATGAATTCCACATATAGAGCTCTTAGTCAAATTTTACAAGACCAAAATTGGTCCTTAAAACACACTGAAGAATGGCAGTGTGGAATACTGAGTGATTTCCTAGGATTCATAAGATATTATTACATTACTTGTTTTATCATCTATCCTTAATAATTACCACTCTTGTAATTGCAAATTTTGTTTCACCAATTTAGGTTGTTTACAAGTTGCTGTTCTTCAAATTTCAGTGAATTCTAATGTAATTTACTGTAACTTTCAGTAATTTTAAGAAAGAGACGTTTTACTTGAGATAGTTTTGACAAAGTTTGTCTAGCATGTAACATAACCTTAAAATATACTGTTATCAATCCATTTTCCTCTATAGGATTTACAATACTGTGAAAGAATCTGAGGGGAAGAGGGGGTCATGATACTATCCTTTTTTTGGTTTGAGTTTCTTAATTAAATTTGCATGTAGTCTGCCGCCCACTTTTGTCTCAGATTTTTTTTTTTCCTTGCGTTTCTCCTTAAACTAATTTTACTTGAAAATAAATATTTTAATTTGTTTTATCTGGAATGTTTCAGATTTTGAATTGGTGCTGTCGTCCTAATGCTTACCTTGTCTTTTGCCAGTTTCCTTCAGAATCATAGAATGAAGAGGAGGTATCAAGCCCTTTGAAGTTTGTTTGTCAGTGCTATTAAATCTGTTTTTAAAAGTCTTTGAATTCCGACGACTTTGACTTAGCCATGTAGAAATAGCATATATTTATGATCCACATGCAGAAATTACGTGAAGTATGATACATTAATGAAAGCAAAAATAATTTTTATTTTTATTTGCAGATGCATTTTTTATGAAACCAGGTTTGCAGCAGTTTGAGTACAATCCAATTTAATGTTTTTGTGTCCCTTGGCTTCCCACATTTGTATTCCAACCGTTGTCTTCATGTACCAAGTAGTTAACAAACATTTTTCTGTCAGTGGTTTGACAAAGGGAAGAGGAAGGTGTAGAATATGAATGAGTAATAAATTATGGCCTGAAAAAACTTTCATCTCTTAATCAGAATCAAAATATGGCTAAAGTTTATAGCAATGTTTTTTGTTGCTGTTTAATGTCAATTTGCTACCATTAAATCTCAAAAATATTCCAGTTACTAATGATTTTTTTTTCTGTACTAGAGAATTAAATACATGTGGGGAAAAAAAACTGCATTCTGTTGATCCTTTTAGACCAGGAAAAACAAAGATGGATAGTAGGACAGAATTTAGAAGATAGAATCAGCCTATTGTGCATGCTTGCTGGCTGGAACTTTTGTTCTCCAGTATTTTTACTTGGCACGGAATTAATTTAAAATGGGAGTGAGGGGAGTTTCAGTTGTTATCCAAACATAAATCTGGAATAACTTACTGTGTATTAGGAATGAATGCCTGGCATATACTAAAGACAAAATACTCTGAAATTGTGCTGTGTATTAGCAAAGGAAAAATAACATGGTGTTACGTGACATAAATAAAAGCAGAGAATTTTCGGTAAAGCTCACTGTATAATTCCTTCCAGCACACCCACACTTAGTATTTGCTGAACAAAGATTAAGGGCAACAAATCAAGACATAAATTTTGTAGTTGTCTTGGCTAAAGATTTTTCTGAGAATGATTACTTGCCAAGTCTTTATGAATTTGAAGATAAATGTCCTGTCTGCAAACTGAGAGCAAACCCTCTTTTAGTTAATAATTGGCAAAACAGTTCTGTCTTCATGCATAAAAGATTACAAATTACTTTAGCTCTACTTATTAATATTTAGACATTAGCTCTATGTAGCCTCCTTTACCTCCTTAGTGCTTTACTTTATGCATATACTACTGTTGTTGGCCACACAAAAATCTTTTCTGATATTTGTTTTGGATAAAGGGGGCAAAAAATATAGATTGTATCTGTTATGAAGCCAAGCGCATAAACCAAGCTTAAAAAGAACCAATAATTGCATTCATTTATTTGTTTCCAGGTATTCCAGATCTTCATCACAAATAGTGAAGAGAGATGAGAATTACAGGTCACTTATTTCCAAGATTGTCTGCATTCTTCAAATACTTTGTTTAGGCTTTAAAAACTTGAAAACTTTTGCAACTACAATGTATGGGTTTAGTTGTCTTTTAGATCAGAATTTTCAGTACCTCAGCTTTTCACAGAGGAAATTTTTTATCAAAAGTTACCAAGCGATGGCTCCTGTAAGTCTAGTTGTTTAGTTTTACAGTATATTACTGTGGTCATTAGGGACATGCACTTTAAACATTTTTCAGTGTATAGAGAGAAGTTCTGAAGTGAAGAACTCTGAAATAATTTTGATATAAAATGGCGTCTCAACTGCAGTATTTTTAAAAGGTGAAATAATGCAACTGCAGTACAGAACACGAAGAGGATTTCTTTCTGTGGTGTCCATACCATGCAGGAGATTCACTTCTAGTTATTACAAAATTGAGCCACTTGCATTAAAGCAAAATTTTTGTGACTTAGCAAGCATATACATTCCACTGCTTTTGCAATATTATAAAAACCAGAGCAGCTGTATTTAAAGGAATGTAAATAATGAGTCTGTTTTCTTTCAGATGGGGGAGACGGGACTGAACTCATGTTACATTTGGCTTTCTCAGCAGAGATGTTGGACGCAGTAAACTTTTGGCCTCTTGCTTATGAGTTCTCTGCTACTGAGGTTACCTGTCAACATAAGCATGGAGGACAGTTCTTTGACCATTAATTGCCAGTTTAAAATGTCATTGATGATATTGACACAGGAAAATTGTTTTGCTTATTGCTGCTGAAAATTCAGTAATTAAGTGAGTTTGCCCGTTTGCTGCAAGTTAAACAGGAAAAGGACATAATAGATTTCCTTCACTAGATCAAAGCATATCTTTTAAGTTACTATCATGCATCCTTACCGTAAGTAGTATTTGTGTGATAAACTACGCACAAAAGTAAAAGATATGTAAGAGACTTCTGACATCTTAATTGGCAAAGGTAGTAGTATCAAAACCAACACAGTCTTGCAGATAGCTTTCGTATAGAATACTTGGGACATTGCAAAATTAGAGAGCAGAGAGAAGAATGACAAAAGGTGCAGACATGGAAAAACTTGTGTTTGGAACTGAATTAAGATTCTTTGCCTTAGGAACAAGACGTAATATTAATACACAAAAATGCAAAGAGTAGAACTAGCGGACACTTTTTCCTGTTGTCTGTAATAAGACAAGGGATTACTTACTGCTTTCAGATTCCCTTGCATACTGCTCTTCATACAGATAATTTCAAAAGCAAAATTGCAAAACATTAAAAGAATATTATTTTCATTTCAGTATTGTCTGTAGAGGCAATACCAAATTATTTCTCTTCATCCTGTTCTGTTTCTGTCAGAGGAATTCCTAGTTCTTTCAGTTTTTCAAGTACTTCACTTGCTGTCTGCTTGATAAGTTTAATGATTGTTGATAGAGGTTTTCAACCCCCGAGCCCAACCTTTGACTAGAGCAGCACTGCATAAAGCAGTAAGTGTGCCTAAATGTACTTAACATTTTGTTTGTCACTGCCGAGTTTCAAACACTGGAGAGTATACTTTCCTTCTGTATCTTCAGTTCATCAATTGAAACCGATGTTCTAGGAGATTTTGAGTGGTAGGGTATGGTTTGCTTTTTCTGACCTGTTTTTCATTACAATCAGGTGGTTTTATCAAAGATATTTGAATAAAGACTCTGTTGCAATCCTGAATGCTACTAGGTAGTCATGCTCTGTCAATAGCAGTTTTCACAAACGTCATACTCTTTTCTTGATCACCACTTACTTGAGAAAGAAGGAATAGCTTTTGCCCTTACCTCACTGACTGCCTCATCAGAGGCTTGTTTCTGGGATGGTTTTGTTGTGCGGTACTCCTTTCAAACATATTACTGTATGCGAAGAAGTGAGTATGCAAAAATTCTGAACTTTGAAAGTTCTTAAAGATTGCAGTAGACTCTCTTGTTAGGGTCACTTAAGTGTGCTTTGACCTTTTACCAGTTAATAAGATCATGCAGGAAATCTCCTTTCCAATTTATATAGATGTTGATACAAATCAGGGTTTGGTGGCTAGATGTGGTAACTGTCTTGTATAATCAATTGTGTGGTCCAGCAATGTAATTGCTGTGACAGGTGCAACACGTCTAATCTTAGTTCAGGTGACATTAATAGTCTGTAGGATGTCTCTGTTCATAATATCTGTAGAGCTGCTGCTTAGAGCACCTTCATGTTTTCTTGACAGTCTATGTACGCTTTGGGTAATAGTCCTTCAATCTTGAATGACCTGAGGACTCTTGGGCACCTTGGTCCCAGAGTCTTTTGTTAGCAGGAAAGTGGTGTTGGTATGGAACATTGCTTGATGCCACCTGCAGAGTAAATTTATATAGAGACGAGAGAAACATGTTTCTTATCTGTAACTGTTGTTCTCTGACCTGTGTTCTCTGTGTGTTCAAGACTTGCTGTCCTGCGTTTGTTCATTGGAATGCCTGAAGGAGTGTTCAAGTTTTTCTCAGTCTCTGAAATCCTAAGTGGGGAGAGGGCTGGCTTTTTAGGGCTGCCTACATAGCATAGAGATGTCACAGTCCTGTAAATACAGCCCTTTGGATATTAACTGAGCAAAAAAAAATTATCTTGCTTTCACTATTTAAATGGATGTATTTGGAATGAATGTGGAAAAAAGCCACTTATAGGTAACAGAAGAGTAACAGTTAAGCAGATAACAAATAAGCAGATCTTTTAATGATTAAACTGAACCTCAAGACTAAAGACATTTGCAAGATTTCCATTTATATGGAAACAGAGTTCTTTTTATGTAAGTGAATTTTGGAAGAGATACGAAGGTGCATATTTCGGCAAGTAAGATAAATCTATATCCAGTAATGACCAAGGGTATTCTGAATTTATGTCACCCGAACTCATATCTCTCTAAAATCAATTTACTTTCCTCCGAAAATGTCTAATATTTGCATCTGTGAAAAAGAAATAACTGATCTAGATGGCCCATAGGTATAGTATCCATTGTGTTAATTCCTAAGTCTTACATTATTAAATCATACCATGAAATGTGTTCAGGGAAGCTTACAATCAAGTATGTACTTAAAAAAAAAATCAGTTTAATTGAAGACTGTAAGCATTAACTCCTCATCATGTGATTATGGTACTTTAATTGGCAGTAGTCTTAAATTAGTTTGAGTGCCTTAAATACACATCTCCATATCTTTTTGTGTTTGGATTTCTTTGAAATGTAATTTCAACTCTACATGTGCTGGTTTAATAATTTTTAATATTAACATGTCAGGATCCTGAAGATAAGTAAGGTGAGCTTAAGAGTACATATCAGTAATTAGCTTAATATTAGTGTTGTCACTTGATGAAACCTACATAGCATAGAACATACATAGCAATTTTTGTTAAAATTGCCATCTTTCATTTGTCATGGTCAATTGTTATAGTTGTTCATAGCCTTTATTCATTCCTGAAGTTTCGCTCAGAACTTGGTTGGTTTTTACTGAAAACTTGACTGTGAAGGTGCTAGGTCATTTTAGAAATTGTAAATGTAGAAGCAGAGAGGCATTGGAGGGCACAAGTACTTTATTTATTATTTTTGGGGTGTCTTTAAATGGTTGGGCAGCCCAATAGCTTTAACATTCAAAAAGTTTTCAGCTTTGCAGTCCTGAATAAGGAATGTACACTTTGTCTGGTTTGAATAATCAATTGTATGTGAAACATGAAATACTACTTTTAAAATCCAGAAAAATGAGTTAAATTATGATGCTCACCAGCAGATCCTAGGTAAGTTTTGTAGAGAGATCCAGTTTTATTAGGCAGACTAATAGATGGAAAAGGCAGACAAGCTTTTGAGCATATAATGATTTCTTCTGCAGCAAACATCAGGATAAGTGTAGTTTGAAAACAGTTGTGTTATATTTGTGTTTGCTGAGATAATTTGAAGGGAAAAGGCTATCTCTAATGCATAAAGAGATGCTTGGAAGGAGAGAAATAGTAAAACTATGAAGCAAGTAAGGATCACTTGCAGAACTGTGTCCTGCAGGAAGAAGTATGTTGGGGTATGCCATAACTAGCTCGTGATAATATTTGGTAGAGTTACAGCTTTTAGTTCTTAAGCTCTGCATGTGAAGGTGTTTTGTAGGACTCCCTTGGAGGACAGGAGTGAGAGTTAGTGGAATGGGGAAAAATGTTCTCTGTTTGGTTACTGAATGTTTCTGTCCATTTTCCCTTCTCTGTGTGTGTTAATCCTAGTAAATAATAGTTGTTTGGTTTTACCCACAATTTCCTGAAGCATATAAAGTTCTGCCATGCACATATCTAAAATTCATAGAATTTTGGTGGTAAAAAGCTACACTTTAATCAGAAGATGTTAAACATTCATTTTCAAGATCATATGAAAACCTGGCAATTTTACTTGCAGGGAAAGTTTAATAAAGTCTGTCTTGTCTGATTTAAAGATCAGGTTTGTGTCTTGTGTCTTTTGATGATATATATGTGTATACATGGATATAATAGATGCTTAATTCCATTTGTTAAAGTGAAGTTTTAAAGCTGGCTAGTTCCTGCTACATGAAGTTCCATTTTTGAGATATAGCTACACACTCCACACATATATAAGTCATATGAAAATTATTCATGCATAATTAGGGATAAAAATCAACTTGGAATTCCTGTTTGAGAGAGTTGCAAATGAGGATGGTGTTTATTTACAAAAGCACTTAATATTGCATCATAGTGATACAAGCAGCAATCTGAAATCAGCAGAAATACTCATTGAGAAAAATAAAGCATAAATAAAGAAAGATATCTCCTAGTATCTCTGCAGGACTGAACATATCAAGATTTTGCTGTCATTGCTCAATAGTACTGTAGTAGTACATTGTTAAACCACAAGATGAGTTTGTCTTTCAGAATGGGGGGGGGATTGCTTTGTTTGCTTATGGGTTGTGCCTTAGATAATCATTTCTGATTTTTTTGTGTGTTTTGTCTCCTTTAAAGGTCGTTTGTATGCAATGCAAACAGGGATGAAGATTGATAGTAAAACCCCAGAATGCCGTAAATTTTTATCCAAACTTATGGATCAGTTGGAAGCTGTAAGTAGAATTTATTGCTCTTCTCTAAAATGATTCATGATGTTACTTTAATTTTTATTTAAGCTTCTGCAAATACTATCTTTCCTCTGTCATCAGTCATTGATGCAACTATTCTGCATGCAGGCATACTGTATGAATTTATGTTGTATGCAATAAATTGGCAGAAGGATTAAAAGGAGATAAAGCTATATGTCTATGTATGTTTATATGTATGTATGCATGCACAACCAACTGAAATTTCATACAGCAGACGTTTGCTGTAAGGTTTTGTCTAGACAACATGAATTACAATACTTTATACATACATATTCTCATAAGAAATCATAATTCATTATGAAATAAATGCAGAAGTTTTAGAAGACTTTTTTTATTGATTTGTCTTTGATTCCTTGAAGTCTGTGAGAGTTGTTTTCACTGCTGTAGGACTGGCTAGCCTAGGCCTTGGTGCTTTTGAAATTTTTGACCTAAACTGTTGTACCCAGGGAGTTCCTTGAAACATTCTGTAAAAGATAAGGATACTTTTGATCGTGTCCTCTGTTGGAGGTTGGGGATCTTATACTGTGATTTTTTTGTAAGCACAGTCTTATCTGTGTGGGTAGGAGATAGATATGCCACGTTCTTTTGAGTGGACCCGATAGTATTAAAAAGCAAACAACCTTAAATAGAACAGAGTTAAAGAAAGGTAAAGTCATTGTACAGATGGTCAGTTTAAGTTCAGGAGCCATTTATGTTCGTATGCTGTAGTTTTCAATAGTCTCAAAGGAAATGTGGATTTTTAGGTTTAAGTGCTTATTTGGAAGCAGAAAATAACATTGAAAAATGAAGCAGTGGTTCTTTTTGTGTTCAGTATTAATGATTCCATCCAAAATCTAGCCATAACAATGCTTGAAGAGTTTGTATGAAACTACTGCAACAGCCTTCAATTCTTCAGAAAAAAAAAAAAAGAAACATGAATCATTTGTCTTTTATTCATACCTTGTGCTACTTGCTATGTTTTATCTCTGATTTTGTAGCAATGGAAAATCTAGTGTACAGTGACTTCTTGGTGTGTTATTTCATCAAATTTTAGCATCTATAATGGGTCTGATTTTCATGCTCAAAAGGGAAGAGAGGTGGCAGGAGGGATGAGATTAAAACTCTGAAAAATTTTCCTCTTCATTCCCTAATAAATTGTTAAATTTATTTGATCCCTTGTGGTACTGCGGCAACTGATCTGTCTGCGGTGTTCAGTTACACCTTTTGTTTCAAATTTGGAAAGACTAGAAAACCAGAAAAAAACCACAGTTTCATCTTTTGGTTGCTGGTAAGATTGTCTGTGTGACAACTGATGCTCAGGCATTGAAGTTCCTTCTACATAGCCAAGTGGTGGAAGGGTGGAGAGAGCACTTCTAAGCAGATCTAATACAGCATTTTGGGGGCTAGGAAGCTTGGGTATGTTGAGAAGTTGGACCTCTGCAGTAATTCAATAGCAGCCATTTTCAGTCTGCCCTTAACCAGCAGGAGGCACAAAGGGGTGCTGCAGGTCTGTGCTGAATGTTTCTCACAGCTTTCTGTGTGTTGCCACAACTGACTGTTTTAGAGGTTAAGACAGAATCTTAAAACCAATCCTGAACTCTATAATAGCAAAGAATAAAACAGTGTAGATACATCTGGAAATTACCAGATGTGTTCTTTGCAAGAAACTTCATAATACTTCAAATATGTGAATTAATTAAATACAGTGATTTTGTACCCAAAATGCATGTTTCTGTCAGAAATATTTTTACATATGATTATGGTGTTTTGCTTTTCCAATAGGTAACTGTTTCATTTAAATGTTTTTAGTAAAATTAAACCAAATTCGCTTGATTTTATGTTCAAATTATGAATCATCATTTAAAACATCAGTACTGCTGTACTGAATCACAGATTGTGTGAAGAGTAATTTCAGAAGTAAACAACTTGGTTAACTTCAACATTTTTAGAAGCATATGTAATTGAGTGTAAGGTGTATATATAGGCTGGTGATATATATAAACAAATCATTTTCTTCCTCAGTTAACTTCATTGTTTCATTTCACTTACATATCTTGCAAGGTACAAATTGTGGTACACTCACAAGAAAAACAATTACACTTCATAAAACAGAAATGCTTTTTGTACTATGTGGATTATGAGTTTGACGAAAGTCTTCAAATGTAAAGTTCTCTTCGGAAAGTTTATATTTCACTACTGAAATCAAGTAACCTTTCTGGCAACGTTCTATGTATTAAAGTTGGCAGCAATCTAAAAAATATGGAAATGCAGCCTGCATGATTAAACTTTCTTCACATGCACAGTGAAAAGTAACTGCCATTCAGAGATTGTTTTTAAATCTTTTGGCAAAATAAAGGCTGCAGATTAGTATCATGCAGTGTTCTGGTTTTGTTCTCTAAGGATAACCTGAGATTTCCTTATTTGCTAACAGTAAGCCTATTCAGAAGCTGTAAATCCACCTGTTGTAAGCTGTTAGAAGGTTATTTGCTTTACTGATTTTTATTAGGAAATCTGAGGATTCTTGTACTCTAACGTCTTTGAAAAGAGGTCTTTGAATTGCAGTACACTGCTTACACTGAAAATTCCAGTAAATCCATAGGTCACTAGACCAGTCAAGGTAGGGCTCAGACGCTTTGAAAGATGTAATGAACTGCAGTGAAATAACCTTACAAGAGGGAAGATACATGATCACTCTGACACACAGTATCTTTATAAAGCATGCATTACTTTATCAATTGAACTGTGTTGAATCCTGATGCAGGCTTCAGTGCTTGGTCTTTCGGATAGTAAGGGGAAAATACCTGTAGCTATTCCTTCACAATATTGTAGTTGTGTTTATTTTTAACATTTTTTTTATTTTGGTTTGGGTTTTTCTTAAGTATTTGTGGTTGAAGATGGTATTCAGAGCTACTTATTCATAATGTTTCTCCCTCCAAAAGAATGTGCTTTCTCTTTAGCATGCGACTTTTAGTATTTGTTATGTTAGAAGCTGGAGATTTGTAAAATAATTAAAGCATTTGTGTGTTGTTTTTTGGTTGGTTCTTTTTTTTAAATTGTACTTGGCTTTGTCTAAATCAGCAGCTTCTTGTATTTGAATTAGATTGCAGAATTTCTAGGGTCTAATAAGGTAATGAATGTATTTTTTTCAACTTTTTCAGATGAAAAAGCAATTTGGTGATAACGAAGCAATTACTCAGGAAATTGTTGGTTCTGCTCATGTGGAGAACTATGCTTTGAAAATGTTTTTGTATGCAGACAATGAAGACAGGGCTGGGCAATTTCATAAGTAGGTGAAAATCTTTGGTTTTGTTCTCTGAATTAAGATACTGGTCAGGAAATTTGAATTTCCAAATTCTCTTTAATTTGCCTGGAAACAAGAATTGTGCTTTTCGCATTCATTTCTCTTTCAGAAAACTTGATTTGTTACTATTTTTATGTCTCTAACTTCACACATTAACTGGTATTATCCTTGTGTTCTTTAGGAGGTTGCTCACCTGCTGGCAAGCCTTCTAAAACCCCAGGCTAATACAGAGGTTGGCATCAAGCATGTTACAGTTTTTACTGTCCAGTGATATTAAAATATTTGTGATGATACATTATCTGGTTTGATTTACAGCAATTACTACAGCTTGATGACTTTGCTAGGCTTTTTCTAAGATAATATAGGATGTCCTATGTGCTGTATTGAACATTCTGAACTAGAAACTAAGTGTAGAACAGATGACCAGCTTTAAAAAATACTGAAAACTTTCTGCATAGTAGTCAGAAGACTAGCTAATATATTGCTAAATTTAAACACTGTGAAGTAACTTCTGTAACATCAGATTAAAAGAAAAAAAAATTACAGATGATTGGCTTGACATAAGCCAGTATGATCTAAAATGCCAACTTCTGAAATGTGATCCTGAAAGACTGACATTACCAAGTTAGTGAAATGTTTTCTTTTTTACAGAAACATGATAAAGTCCTTTTATACTGCAAGTCTCCTGATAGACGTTCTAACAGTATTTGGGGAGCTCTCTGAAGAGGTAAGTGTTAGGGATATCAGTGTATTATCTGATTGCTTTTCCTAGCACAGGTGCAAACTACTGTTTTTAGTTCTGTAAAGTTGTTTTTATAATTTGTGAATATGAACTTCAAAGAACATAGGTTCTAGTTATGTAGGCAAATACATCTTAGTAAGTCATAAGGAATTGTGCTAAGTATTTCAAATAAATTATATGTGAAATACTAGATAACTGTTACCTATTAGAAGATGCTTCATGACTTAAATATCAGTTAGAAATGCAAAGTCTGATTATTACTGAGGGACACAGCATTACAGTGAGCAAGTAGGAATGATTATAGGGAAAAATGATGCAAGGTTCCTGGCTTTTTCCACCTTCACTTTTTTCACCCTGCAAGCAAGAGCTTTAGTGCTAGTAAATGAGGTGGAATTGAGTACAGCTTTAGTTAGAACAGCTATTTTTGGTTTTAAAACTTTTTTTGGCTTCAAAATATTTTTGGCTTTAAAACCCCACTTTTAAAGGTGATAAGTTGGAAGAATATGAATTTACTTCATGAAAAATGCCTTGCTATTTGGCCAGAAGATGAATGTTTTAATTAAAAAAATTATCTACTGAAGTAACTAACACAGTGCTCTTTATGGCAGGTAATTTTTTAATCAAACAAGCATTCCAGAATTGGCTGAACAAGATCATGGTTACTTTTATTAAGGCACACCAGAATAATCTCTTGATCTGTTGTTATAAAACAAACTTTTCTATTAGATGCATACCCAGCTGCTCTGTTATTCATACGCCACAGAAGAATTAACCTCAGATATAGAAGAGCAGGTACTCTTAATAAAGTATTCCTCGTTCTCAAAATGAGAAGTGAGATTTCCTTGCTAAATTAACTGAATGAGAAGTTAATTCTGAAAATGTGTTGGTATAGTTGATAACTTCTGGAAAAGAAAAAAAAATTAGAGAAAGCTGCTACTGACTCATTAATACAAGTTTCAAAGATTGTTAGATGAAGGTTGAAATGGCTGGAAAAATAAATAAGAAACAGCAACAACACTAAACAATCTGAGACAAAATCAGCCAGTGCTGATCACATAAGTGTGAGTATGTCTCGGGACACCTAAATCCATGCAGGTAATCTACAAATATTTTTTTCTCACATGCATCGGTGTTAATAGGCTTCCACTCTTACACTAGTAAAAGTGCCTTAGAAACCAAAAGTTTTGCTACTTTGCAGGCCCATAACAAGCCCGTGGTTGTGTTGGTCCCAAACTATTCCATGCCCTGCTTGGAAATCACAGACTTGACATCCTGGATGTAAATCGCCTATCTGATAAGCGCGCCTAACGTGCAGGCACATTTGTTCAGTTTAAAATGCAGTCGCCGTGGCTACTTTCATTTGTAAATATTGGAAGGAAGGTAAAAGAATGGTTTTGGTAGTGGTGCACTTCTTGTATGCTATGACTTATAGGAATGTAAGTGTAGCTGTTAAAGATAGGTCTTGCCTAAGAAGAACAATTGGCCAAGTGTTCTTGCAAGATTCTACATCTTCCATAGCCTGAGACTGCACCAATCTACAATTTTCATCTGTCAAGAGGTGCAAGTAAGATTGTTCTGTCATGTGTTTGCTTAAAACTGGCTGCTTTGCACCCTGACGTCCTTTAAAATATCAAATAGTAATGGTTCCTAGAGCCAGAGAGTGAATGCATGTTGAATTGGACTGAGAAGATGATCATCTTAGACTGTAGGAATCCAGTGCACAGGGCAGTGCATTGATTCGGTAACTCCTCAGAGGTCCTGAAGCAATCCTTCGTGTAGATGGAAAAAACTGTTACAAATGTCAATGTGGACTGCTAGCAGTGGTATGTTTACTACTGAGTGGGGTGGGGGGTGGGGATTGATGCTGAAAGGACAGAAGCACTTTGTAATTGGAAAGAAGCAGAATTGCCTCATTTTGATTGTTTAATCAGTGAAGATGAGGTTAAAATAGAGTGTACAATAAATACAGCAGAAGGTTTGCACTTCTGGCTAGCATCATTACATTTCAACAGTTTCCTTATCCAGTGTCACATGAAGGAATGATGGGACAAGTATGACATGTGACCGTCTTAGACTTTTGCAGAAGCTTTTGTTAGCCTGAAGTAACCTCAGCCTGACACCTGGTTATGTAGTAAGATGATCTAAATGTTCTATCCATTCATATTATTCAGACCATCTGTGTGCCTTTTCACTATGTAATTGCCTTCATATGTATGGAATATCAACTATTAAAAGGGTTTTAAATCAACAGCAGAAGGCATAGAAGGCAGATACTTGACAGCTAAAATCCGAAAATGGGTATTGTAAATAATATGTATATTTTTAATTGGCAAGTGGTTGATTATTGGGTAATATGAATGGATTGTGTCACAGGAAACAGCGGATGTTCCGTATCTCAGTATTAGAACTAGGCAAAAGGATTTTCTGGAAGACACGTTTTCCAAGACACAGCTTACATCAGATCAGTAAGAAGCTGTGTGATGGTAGTGTTATTTTCATTTACCTTAGTAGTAATGTTCATACAGTAGGGCAGCCTTCCAAAAAGGGACAGCAATGCATATTAAAAACAAACTAAAAGCAACAAAATTTAGGTTCTCAGTTCTGGAAGGATAAGCTTTGCAGTTGGGATGCATAATGACACACATCAAACACTCTTTGTTCCCTTTTCCTCTCTCTGTCCAGTGTTTTGGGTTTTTTTGGCTCATTCTTAAATACACTTTCCAAGAGGCACCAGCAGCCTGGCTGAGGGGCTCAGCCGTGTCCTGTGGTGGGTCCGCTGGAGCTGGCTATGTCTGGCAGAGAGCAGCCCTGGCCTCCCCTCACAGATGCCACCCCTGCCGCCCCCAGTTGCCAGCACCTGGGCACGGACACCTGATACAACAGCATCTTCACACTTTATTGAGAAATAATTGTGGTATTAGAACAGAAGGGAGATGTATGGGCTGTTAAGTCTTGTGTAATGTTCTTTTCTAAAAGTACCATACTCTGGATGTGTATTTCTGCATTTTGTGGCTTCTAGTGTGCTTGTGAATGCTAAAAGAATTAATCTGTAACACTACCTGGACAGGAAAGATTATTAAAATAAAGTAACAGAAAGCCATGTTTTCCAATTGTACTTTTCCTTTCTGAGGTATAGTGAAGGCATTTTAATAAATCTGGCATTTTTTCTGGACAGCATTTTGTTTGTGCAAATGAGGACCATATCTTTCTCGTGGGTGGTGTGAGCATCCTGGTGGATAACAATGTATTAAATATGAGCAAGGGAGCTTGCTGGAGATATTCATTATACTGTCACTTTCTACCCTGTTCTAGATGATTCTAGTGCAATAGACTTTGTCATGTACAAATTTGAATTTAATTTTAATTCTCAAAAACTTTGGATGTAATTTCAGTCAGGACTTTTAAAAAGACAGGTTATTCTGTCTACCTCAGTTTCCAAACGACTTTACCTGTGATTGTTACTGTGGAAATTTGAATTCACCAGTACCCTGCAGGTGATGATGTTGATGTGAAACACACTACCAACCTGTATTGTTCACTTGGCCAAATTATTGCATTCATCCTTCCATATTTCTCATCTCTGTTTATATTCAGCCTTGTTCCTTGAAATATATTACCTCATAACTGTCAGAACTGGTTATTTCTCTTACAACTTTTGACAAAGTAGTTCATTTGCATAATCAGTTTAAGTTTTCTCCTAACAATTGAGAACTCTTCCTGGATTAAAAACGCTATTGTAACAGTCCCAGGAGATGTAAAGTGGGCAATCTTCATTTCATGTTTTTGGCATATTAAAGTTGTATCTAAGAACAGTAAAGTGTAGTTTAAAAAATGAAATGGAAAATCTCAAAATAGTTGAGATTGAAATTTATTTCAATCACTCATGTTTTGTGAAAAGAAGAATTTATGAAAACCCAGGTGAAATGCTTTTCCTCAATTCCTTTTTCCCAGAAACTGAAAATAGTGAAAAATCATGTTGATTTTCCTTAAATACTGAAGTTATGGCCGCCTTTTTTCAATTTCAAACTCTTTCTGTGGAAATAGAAATGGAATCAGAAAGACAAGAAGCAGATTTCTCTTCTCACTGCTATTGCTTCATATTGAGACCATTTCAGAAAATGAGAGTTGGCCAAAAATTATATTGACTGTCAATATAGTAATTAATTTTTTGAGAAGTATTAATATTTTTTCTAATAACTGAACTATTAAACTTGTCATTAACAGTTTATTTAAAGTCGTTATTATCATAACCCCTTGCTCTGCAGGTAGTTTGTGTATTGCTAAAGTCCTTCATCTGATTTTTAGCTATGTTGTGAAGATATTAAATCAAAATATTGTATAACCTAGAACACACACCACATTAATCTGTGACTATGGCAGCCTTTCTGTATTCATGCTTCTAAATACATTTTTAAAATGTGAAATAATGTAATATTGTTATATTATTGATCAGCAGGAGTAGCATTTTAAGTTTCAGATATTTAAATCTAAAGTAAATAATCATCTAAGTTTATGGAGGTAGAAAGTTTTCTTTATTATTTCACATCAGTAATTACTACACAGTGCTCTGTCTTTCACACTAGATGGTCCTGATGTAATTTATTTCCTTTTCCTGACATGCTGCACTAACTGAAGATCTCCACATTTTCCTTTTGTACTGAGATCCTGTTAGAGCTGTTCTTTTTATTTTTTTTTTTAATTCACTGTTTAATTTCACGTGTTGTTTATCTTTAAAGGGGTGTCAAATGATGGCAGAGAAAGCAGTTGATTTACTATCTCTTCTCAGGGTGGAAAACCTGCTTATGTTTGTTTTTTGAATGCATTAATTCGCAGAAGTGAGTGGTTAAATGGCTGGCCTTTTCCCTTCCCCAGAACGCCCAGCACAGGAAGTATGCCAGGTGGAAGGCAGCATACATTCATAACTGCTTGAAGAACGGAGAGACTCCTCAGCCAGGGCCTATCGGAATGGAAGGAGAGAGCTTCGGTATGTGTTTCCCTTTTCTTTTTAAAAGAGCAAAGGGCTGGGCCAAGACCGAGATGGTGGTATGCACCGTTCTTCAGGGAGCATCCCACAGGAACCACAGCTTCCCTGTTTAATGTTCCATTCACGATGGGCCGCCTTCTGCTTTTTCTTCTCTGCTTCTCCTACTGTTATTTTTATTGGACTTTACTACTTGATTGACTTATTTAATGAATTTTCTTTTCCTTTCCTGTGTAGAGGAGATTAATATTTTGAATACAGCTACTCTCTAAGAAGGCATTGTCACCTTTGGGCCAGAACTATGCATTTGCAGTAGTATATTGTTTGAGAGTTTTCTATTGTCTTCCAAATGTGAACTGGAGAACATGGCATACAAGGTGAAGTTAAGTGGGCCTAAGGAGAGTTCTTATTGCTGTCTTAAACTTTACCTAATGGGAGAGTGTAGAGAAGATCTAAGCCAGACTCTTCTTGGACGTGCGTAGTGATACGGCAACAGGCAATGGACGCAGGTTGCAACGAGGAAAATATGAATTAATTATTAGGAAAATAATTGTCATCATGAATGTGGTCAGATATTGAAAAGAGAGTCCAAGAGATGTTACGGAATCTCCATCCTTTGAAATATTCGAAACCTGACTGGACAGTCCTGGGCAACTAGGGGTTTGTACTAGGTAATCTCAGGAGGTCATAGGTCCCTTCCAACCTCAGCTGTTCTGTGCCTGGAGCAGCATGATCTGTGTTAGCACTGCTACGAGTGAGGAATTGGACCAGATAACCTGCAAGGGATCCTTCAGCCTTTTCATGATTCTTGAAAAAATTCATTCAGTTTTATATGGAAAAGAGAATGCATGGGTGGAAAGGGGAGAGGGCCAGATAAGAGTGCTTCTGAGGTTCGGATTTAGCCAAAAAAGTCTGAAAAGTGGCTCTCCACAGTGTAATCTCCTATCATTTCTATCTCCTGGCCACCATTACATTTAAAAACAAAAAAAAATTATAAAATACATAATCAACTTTTTTTTAATGAGAATGTGTACCAAACAGCTATCCCTGTTTATTGGTTAGCCTTTATTTTGTTAAAAGTAAAGAAAAATGTCTAAAAGCCTGGGTGCCAATTATAACTTCTTTGCAGTTTCCTGGGTAAAATACTGTTGGGTATTAATACTCTAGAAACACTGCAACATAACTAAATTCAAGTATTTGTGAATAAATAATGCGTATGATACAATTTGATTTCCAAGCTACTGGTTTATTGTTGTTATTATGCTTTCCTTACCTAAAGATGCCCTACAGACTAAAACACTGGAATGGCTATCTTACCCACTGAAATATGCTCCAATCTAGGCACAGCTATATTTGAAGTGAAACATCAGCAAACGAATTTATTCTTCAGCATACAATCTTTTTCAAGGCAGTTTTCTCAACTGCTGGTGCAGCTGTAGCGAGAGGTATGATGCAAGTCGGCTGCAAACATCACCACATCTTTGTAGGTCAAATTACACCACTTTGATAATTTAATGGAGAAGACAACACATGGGAAAAAATCTTTTGTTATAGTGAATGTAATGAATAGCCCAATTAAATATTTCTAGCTTTAAATGAGTGCTCATTAGTGCTCTGGCTCATAGCATGGTAATGCTTACAAAGCTCACCTGTTTATGTGAAGTCAATTATGAATTATAAACAATTGCAAAAATAGAATTTCTAAGCAAAGCTTACAGAGCTTTTGCTAAAAATCTCTGTATGCAGCTTGTGTAGAAACAATAATTGTTCCTCAGAAGCAACAAATAGGCCCTTTCTTCATTTTATTGATGTGGAGGCAAAGGTACATGACATGCTCAAGGCTGCAAAAGAAACTGTTGTAGGAGGGAAAGTACTATTCATTGCAGGTCATTACAAGCGGTAGTGTCAATAGGTGAAGACTGTTGCTTTCATTAACGAGTTATGTCTACATAAAACTTAAAAGGGATGCAAATGCCGAGTGAACCAAAATTTTAACATCCTCCTTGATAGGGAGCCTGCAATATCTATAATTTGGCAATATCTGCTTATTTGTTGAATTGTATTTCATGTAGTAAGAGAATTTCTCACACTCTTATTTTCTGAGGAATTAAATGAAAAATACTTTTTTATGTTTATTTTTGGAAATTAACTCCATAGTGTAGGTGTCCATAATGCTTTACACAACCAAGACAAAAATTTTATGCAAATCAATTTTTATTAGATGAATCAGTAAAAAAAGTGTCAAATCTTACTTTGTGCATCATAAGAAGAAAAGCAGCATTGTTTGAATGTACGGCTGGACCTTCCCCATTCCTTTCTGCTTGCTCATTTTCTTCCTCCGCTTGCAAGTGGAAAAAGTCTGTTTAAACAGAGTGAAACTAGGTCTCTGTAGCTTGGCAAATTACCATTTTTTTCCAAAGTGTTATTTTCTTTGTGATTCTTGAAAACCATACTGTAACTCTTGGAGATGTTTTTACAGTAACATAGGCATGCTTTATACAGCTCTGCTGTTGGATTTATGGATGCTTTTGTCAGGATGCCACCATGGAAACCTTAAATGACATGCTTGATTTATTAATGCAGTTGGAATACAAGTCCTAGAGTACACATAAAGGTCACTTAGCAGTAGCCCTAGGTCATCGAACAAGATTTTATACTAATGGAAAAAAATTAAAAATGTAATTTCAAATATGAAAAAGTTCCTAAATGGTCATGGTATAGCCATAGTAAAATACATTAAATGTCACCAATTTTATTGCAATATATAGTATGTATTCTACATTTATATTGCAGAAGTCCAGGAAACCTTTATAGTCCCAACTAGTAGAAAGAACAGTGTATGAAAAGTTGATGGATTTTTGAGACCATTTCTCAATGTTGTGGAAAAAAATACACTTTTTTTTTTTTTTTTAAAAAGCAGTGTTCAAATAGAACCTTACATTGTGCCTCTGAGAAACAGTGCAGCAGAATGAGAAAAAGAAAATTTTTTTAAATTAAAACATTAAAAATAGCAGTCCAGAGAACTGGAGGAGTCCAGGCTCCTTAAAAAAAAAAAAAATTTTTGCTCATTTTAAATTCAGTGCTCTGGGCTGCTGAAGTTACGTCATAATCAGTACTTCCTTACACTAGACAAGGGAATGCCATTAAGCCTTGAGAATCCTCTGTTTATGTGAAAGTATCTTTGGACAGTTGGTTAAGGGGACAGGGGTATCAGCCTTATTCCACAAAGTCTTGCCTTCAATAAATAAATAATAATTTAAAAAAACAACCAACCAACCAACCAGATAGTCTGGGTATACTGTGGCTCTGAGGAAAGTCTAAAGACAACATGGATTCATTATTCTGGGATCCAGGCACAAAGGCTGATGAGGTTTCAAGACAAGAAATTCAGCTGGAGCTGAAACTGAATGTGAAACAATTGTGTCACTGTTTCACAGCGTAGTATTTCCGCATCCTTAAGCAAATTGTGAGGAACTTGAAATTATTTTTATTAGGAATTAATCCTCTAATTTTTCCAGCATTCATTCCCATTCCCTGTAAGAGATTTGTTTTTCAATAATGTTATGGATGTTTTAACCACAGAACTTAAAAACAGTTTGTTGACTTAAATGTTCTTTCCCAGCAGCCTGGACTCCTTCTGTTTAGCACTACTTTTAAAAATCTTCACGAATACTGCAAGTGCGTATCTCAAAATGATTCTAATACTTTAATCTTTGATAAAGAATATTTTAAATATTTACTTTGCAGAAAGAATAGCTACAATGCTTTGATGACATTTGGGCACTTTAAACACCTAAGAAGAGTTAATTTAAACAAAGCCACTTTTATGTTTAATACAGTTTAACATTTGCCAATTGCTTAATGAGCAAATCAAACAGTGGAGCTCGATCTCTTGATATATATGCCCGATTAAAAAGTATATCGCCCTTTTCTGAACTTTTCTGAACTGCCTCTTACAGGCGCTGTTATTAAAGGTGGCCAGCACTTCTAACCCTTTTTTTTAGTTGCTTTCTTTGTTTATAACATTGGCAGACTTTAACCATTTGAGTTCATATCTTCTGTGACTAGTGTTGCCTACAGCACTGCACTTTTATAGGAGTGACTAGAGACCATGAACTATGCAGTGAGGAAGTTTGAAGCTGCAACTGGGAATGTCTTGGAGAGAAGATTAGGAGGTAGTGCAAGACAGACACAAGTGTGGGGCAAGAGGTTGCATATATGGGATATGAAGTCCTGGTGCAGAGACAAAGAAATCATAATGGGAGTGAAAAGCAAGATAAGGGCAACAGGAAGCTGCAGGGGGCAGAACAAAGGAATAAATGCATTAATGGTTTAAGTCTGGGCAAGAACTTACAGGTAATTTCTCTTAATTGAGATACTAAGTACAATGAAAGCATGTTTTCTGCCACTCCCTCGTTCTCAAAAGTGGCTTAGTAATTTTTACAACTTCTTTCCCAAAATACTAGCTTCAGGCAGATACCCAACATGGAAAATCCAACTTTATGGCTACAATTTGACCAAGCTATAAATAATTGATAACAATGTTACAAGTAAACTTGGGCAGCCTTACCTTCAGACAGCATGATGAGTGTTGTGTCTAACTATTCCCTTAATCTCATGTACAGTATGTCTCTGGGATTTTGTTAAACTAAATTTTATTTTCTGAAACTGTTTTAAAATATTTTTTTTAGTTAACACCAAACCCACTGGAAAACGTAGCATTCAACCAATGGCTTATTCCTATCATTGCGTTATTATTTAAAAGGTAGCATATCTGGGGTTTACTTTTGAATCTCACTGGTTTTTTTTTGCCAGTTTTAACACATTTAATTTTACTTTCATGCATCCTAGCCACATGATATTGCAGTATCAGTTACTAGCAAAAAATACAGCAAAGGAAAAATCTGGCACCTTAAGATATCCTTTGCCTTCCAGAAATCTGCCAGATGTTTGTTTGCATATGTCAGAAATAGCTTCATAAAACCAGAGCCTGAATTACTGATTGCAGCAAGTGAAAGTAATTTTCACAAGAGTAACATATAAAAATTTTACCATGTTCTGTGTTTTTATATTAAATTTTGCTAGCAGTGCTTGACACTCCTGACAGAACTTTGCTTCTAGGTTTCTTTGCTTTTTAATACTTGTAAATAAAGATTCTTGGTATTAGACTGGGGATATGTGAATTTGTTTATTAGTACTTGGATGTTCTGAATGAAAGTAAACTACTACAACTTTGCAGTATAAACCAAAAATATGTTCTCTAACTGTGTATTTATTAACGTCCAGTAAAAATGTTCTAAAGACAATACTGTTAATTTTACTCTGCATTATAGCCTTTTCTCATAGTAAATAGTATTGTGAATTAGAAGGTGTTTAGTCATTTTAGTAAAGGTAGTACCTGAACTTTTTCTGGGAGGAAGAGGACCTTACCTCGGAAAAAAATCTGATATTTGTAATAGTAGACCTATTAATTATTAAGCAGGAGAGGTGTTTGCGTAACATATAATCTTGTATAGTTGAAGATCAGTGTGAATTTCATGAAGAAGAAACATCTCTTTTGCCAGCTCTAGACACATGCAAGTTTTGTTCTCCCATGTTTGTTTTGCTTCCTTTCAAAAACTGGCTATTAACAAAGCCATTCCCAAAACTCTGCTTATTCCACCTGACATTATTGATACAGATGAACACATACACAGCAAAAGAGAATTATCTGTTTTAAATTGAATTTTAAATTGAATTCAAACTAAGGAGTAGAAGTCAACCATATTCTAAATTAACTGGGTCATTAGCATAATAAAATTGGACCATTAGCCTTCAAAGCAACATTGAATAAACTAGACCAGAACCTTAAGAACATGAATAGATTGAAAAAGAATATATTGAAAAATAATATATATGTTCTTTGTACATGCTATGGGATATATTGAACCTCATTATTCTTATAGTGCATTATGTACTCTAGCTTTTTTAGATAATGACTTTGCTAAGCTGCAATTTGTTTTCTTGTTTGGTATTACTTTCCCAAAGTTCCCCTTTTTTCTTACTTATTTGTGTTTTTTTTAATTGATAAATGGTGGAAGGATTGGCACTGTCTTTCTTTTTACAAAGAGTTTGTAAGGCAAATACAATTTCCCATGTTCTGGTTCATGTATATATTAAAATATAGATTACTGCATATTTGTAATATCTTGTTCAACTACGGTGGATGCAGTACATGGAAGTATAAGGGATTGTACTAATGAGACAAATTGCTTATATTCAGATCAGTAATGAGATGATCCTTCAATTTAAACAGAAGAGATCTTTGAAAGTATGTGAGTTTCTAGATCTTTATCCTATGGTATGTTGCTTTTTAACTTTGTCAAGTCAACCATAGGTGGTTTGAGTTGATAAATGTTTTATGTCACGCTGCCATGGCAGTGTTTCTGCTAACAAAAATTTGAAAGGAGGTTTTAAAAGAAAGCCTAAGTTTTCAAGTTTTTGTACAGAAGAGTTACAGTAATTCCTATTTTGTGTCATCTTGGCAGATGTTGAAAGGGAAGAAGCAGGGTCATCTTCTTTCCATAGTGGAACAACTCAACCAACATCATCATCTACGTATGAAGCTAACAACATACCAACTAGTAATTACACTGGCATACATATACCACCAGGTGCCCATGCACCAGCCAACACTCCAGCTGAAGTACCTCATAACACAGGTATTTCCAAATCACACCCAAAAAATTCATGCCTTTATTGAGAGACAAATTCTAGCCCCCTTTCCATTACATATGAAGTAAAATAGTATAGGTATTCTATGGCAGAGGCAACTTCATTTAAAAAAATCATAAAAAAGTCATCAGAAGTATTTTTTTATGTTTTTATAATATGTAATTTGTATTTTGGAGCATTTTGTCAGAAGAGATATAGGGACTGAAAGAATGAGTGTTCCTGCAGACAGAATGTTTTTTTCTTCTCTAGAATCATGCATTGCACCATCTATACTGTAAAGCACCATTTGAATCGTTCACTTGATAGATGAAATTATATTACTTCATTTCATATTTAGCTTTCGCTCTGCAGATAGACTGCTGTTCTTTATGTGGGAACATGTCCAACATAGTGTTGAAACTGTTAGAACAACACTGTAACAATCATGCTTGATGTACCATTCATACCTTTCTTCTGTTTGGTTTGCACTCCTTTTTCCATGCAAGTACTTCAGTGTGATTGACCTCAAACAATATTATTAATGGAAATTTTGTCCCTAGTGCTAAACATATTGGCTCCTACGTCCTTATTCTGTGTCATTTTTGGACCAAAACCAAGTTGTTAGAAATCCAAATTTCTTCCCAGTTGTTTTATTTAAGGGGCAGGGGGAAGTTGCATTAAATGATTTGTGAATACAACTTTTTCACCTCATGTTACCTTTTTATATTGATTTCAATCCTGATGATCATTTGATTGTTCAGATACATTTTTATATTACAGAACATATGAGATGCTTTTGAAATGCAGACCATCCTTTTCTTTTACTTCCTCATTTTAAAAATGCTTCACCCTATGCAAAGTTCAGGATGGTCTTTTTTTCAGCTTTATGAAAGGGAAATCCTTCAGATAGGTGGGTTTTTTTGGGTCTGGGAGGGGGAGAGTGTTGGTTTTTACATTCAGCCTAGGTAAATGTTTAGCTCTTTGTTTCTGCCAGATCTGAAAATTATGAAATATGTACCTTGTAATACATTAATTCTTTGCATTACTTAGTTTTAACCCCATCATTCATTCCATGAAATAACAGATAATTTAGAAAAGTGATTATACCATCTTCCTACATAGCAAATGTTGTAGAAATAAGTGTATGTTAGTCTGGTATGTTCTGGACATACTGCAAATATACAGTTTTGGATCAATGCAAATGAGAGTGTCTAAAATGTGAACACAGACACAAGAATGCTTCACAGCGTAAAGTGCTGTTTCTTCTTTTAGCATCACCATTTCCCTTTTAAATCTAGCTAGCTTTCTTATTTTCACCAATTGTTTTCTAAGGAATTAGGAAGGAGAGAGTTTGTAAGTGTGCAAACTGAGGAGGCAGGCATGGGGCTTTAAAAACACAATAATGGAGACTCTCTGATATTAAAAGGCAGAATTTAAACTTGAAATGTAAAAGTTTACTCCTACTCTTCTTTAGCAGGTTTTCCTCAATGCTTTAGGATAACCAGTGTCTTTTGGACTGGTATATGCTTATTTTTTTTAATGCTTGAAATTAAATTTCTGTGAAATACTGTACTGATAAAATGAATGACAGCCTGTAAACTCTTCTGTATTATTTTATAAAACATCCATAGTCTGAGGTGAGGGGTTTAAAATTATTTGTTACAAGCTTTCAGAATTGGAAAGGCAGCAGCTACTTAATTTAAAAATCATTGAGTCATTAGATTTACCTGTTCTATTTTCTTATTTTGTCTGCTTACTTTTAAAGTCTATAAATAAAAATAACCCCAGTCCAATTTTTTGCATTGATTTGCAGGAGTGACAAGTAACACCATTCAGCCTGCTCCTCAGAATATTCCTCTAGTTGATCCTTCCCTTTACAGTGCTCAGTCTGCAGGTAAGGTGGTGGCATTTGTATTGTCTGTACATGGATGTGCTGTGTCCTGTGTGTTTCCCCTGCACTGAAGGAAGAAGTTTGAGAAATAACATCATCATTATCTGAATGCTACTAATTCAGAAATTTTAAAAAGAATGGACATCATCTAAACATTGTGTTGCTAAGAGTTTAATAGTTTCTGAAAGCTTTGCTACAGTGTATGATTAGTGTTTTCTATCTGACTTTTTCGAACAAATGAGCTAGCATTGTGTTACGCTTTTTATTATTTATGTTATTGCTTCTCAGGTGAGGTTCTGATACACTTAGCAAAGCCTATATTCCTGATGGGCTTGCTAAATTGTATTTTTGGTAATTAATACACATTCCCTTCACTTAAAACTTCTTCTACCGGGTCAGTAAATAAGTTATTTATTCACTTCATTAAATAAGCACGACATTCCAGTCGTGTTTTCTGTTGCAACATAATTGCAACATAATTGTTATGTGTGCTTGTTGATTATAAATAGTACCTGTATTAAATGAAATAATTAAATGAAAAATAATACTGCTAATTACGTCATTTTTATGTACCATTTGATCAAGGCTTTTATCCTTTAAAATCCATCTGTCTTTGATGCTAAAATCACTGTTAACCTGTATTACGTGTATTTTATGTCTGCTTGCATATATCGTGCTTTGAAGTGCACACATAATTGCTAACCTTAGAGAAACCATGGCCTGTGAAAGAGTAGTGACAGGCAATAAAGCTATAATAATCCTAGATTGTGATTTGAACACTGATGTGCATTTGGACAAATTATTAACTGTTTTCTAGGAATTTTTCTGTCTGTGGAATAGAGATAATAAAAAGATAAGTTAAATCTGTAATAATCAGATTTTCTTTGGCAATATAACATGGATGTTGAGTGAGGAGGAGGTCTAGAAGTCCTGGTATGAAATCTGTTCACATTCTACCCTACAGTTTATCCTCACCAGGGAAAGCTGATAGTATACGTAATTGAAGTTTTAAGTTTCAGTACTAGATACAGTCAAATATTGCCTGTTATGACTAGCGAGTTTAGATAGGTATATTCTTGTATATTGTAACTTACAAATATTTAGCTAGATATTTTAGTTTATTGTGTTGTTGAAGAGGGTGTCTATGTTAAAATATCAGCTTTACTGAAAAAGCATTTTTGATTCAATGGAATGCTATAATAGGAGTTCAGTGTTTAGCTTCATATTACTCTGCTGTCTTAATGCTTAAGGATGTGTCCATCTTAATATATTAGGAAGCCATTTTTGTAGAAGATATCTTAAAAAGATAAAAATAGAAATATTTACCTTTGATAGAGTCACATTAACCTTTAGTATTCTCTTGAAGACAAAAGGCACATCCTATTGTTTGTCTGGCATATTACTGTAATGTCTCGTGACGGTTAATTCATTTTATTGAAAACAGTACCTCAGACCTGTAGCTGAACCATTGAAACTTGGTGATAGTTTCTGAGTTTTGGGGGCTGTTGTGGGAGTTTCAGTAGCTCCTTAACCAAAACAGCTAAAGGGTTTACTTAAGCTTTATCGTAGTAACTGCTAGTTGGAAAGCAAATTTTGTGTTGTTTGGCAGCAAAGCTTTCATATTTAACCAGCTTATCATGATCTTCTAGACAGTCATTCTAATAGGTTTTTGGATAACTACTCTGATAATTGTAGTCATCATTGTTTCTTGGTTTGAATGTTTAATTCTAGTTGTCAAAAATGTCATAATTTTGATGTAAACTTTAATTCTTCATTAAGTGTTAGAAGTTCCATTATTCGATATCTGGATAGTATCAGTGCATTGCTCCCTCTAGCCACTTACCTGTGATAACCTGATTTAATAAGTAGATAAATATAAATAAAAAGGAATTGAGTAAATTCAGATACCCTGTTTTTTTGAGAATTCATAATAACTGCTGTCCTGTAATTAAGAGACTAAGACCCTTGCTAAGCACAGTGATGAATCTCTTAACTTGATCTAACCTGAGTATTTGCATGCCTGCATTCCTCCTCTGCACATCTGTTGTGTCACTACAAGTTTGGCTCCTGTAACAGCTTAAAGTGTTACGTTCTTTCTTATAAGGGAGTTTTGCAGAAGTGCACCCAAAGATGTGATACAGCTCATACAGATACTCATTTCTGAAAGCTCAGAAAATATGCTGTCAGTTATGCAGGAGTTTGAGGGATATGCCAGTCAGCAGAGATACAGTAGCAGTTTTGTTTGCATGCATAGAATTAAGAAGCTTGAAGCAATGAAAAGTGTTTGTCTTTGCCTGCCACCATCCTGTCATGCATGCCTGGTCATTACCCAAAGCATCCTCCCTTCAGCTGTACGCGTAAGGGTAATGGCAGGTATCATTCTTCTCCTCATGCTGCTGAGGAGTCCTTTTTACGCCAACAGTACTTTGTTCCCCAGTAGCCATGTTCCCTGACCTGTAAGTAGATTTAGAAATGCCTGTATCTCACAACGGACATTCTAAACTGTGGGACCCAGGAGCCCTCCCCAGTTCCTGAGTTGCAATCTATATATTCGGGCTGTGTATTGAGGTTAGACTTTGGTATGCACCGTTCCTATGGAACTGACATTTCCTTTGGATGGGAAGGAGGGATCAGCGTTGCCCTCCAGTAGGTCCATAGAGCTAGCACAGTGCAAAGTACACTTGCTCCACAATTTAGACACTATGTCTGTGTATACTAATAAATTAAACATGCCTGTAAATATTTGACACTGAGAACAGCTGGCACAGAACCACTAACATCCATGCTATTAAACTTTTAAACCTTCTAAACAGGGTAGTTTGTGAAGGCTGCCCATATTGAATAGTCTCTAGCCTGCTTTAACCACAAGTCGTGCTCAGGAATTGTTTGGGAAAGTGCTAGTTTGCATGGGCCAAAACCATAGTGGAGTCTGTTCCAGCAGTTTGACAGTGTAGACAGTCAAGTTTGAGTGCTGAGACACATTCCCTGGCACTGTTGAATGTACTAGTATAGGCACAGCCAAACAGGATATTCCACATACTCCTGCAAGGCTCTTTCTGGTAGCGAGATCAAATGTATATTTTAAAAATAAATTATATATTTTCTTTCCTTGCCATAACATGGGAGAAGCAATTTGATTAATGCTCTGATGGGAGAGAAACTTGGTGGAGAAGAGTGGAATATTTTATCAAAAGAAAATTATGTTAAAGTAACAGTATTCCTTTGAAGGATTCATGCTGACTAAAATCACTAATTGTCCTGTCCTGTGGGAACAGGTTTCAGAGTTTAACATTGACTTTTGAAAGTGTCAAAGCTTATGCGATTAAGCATTGGTTAACGTCTCTGACAACAGAATGTAGAGCTACACTGCAACTTTATATACTGTGTGCATGCACTTCTCTGGTGTAGTTTGCTTAAAAAATTTATTACCCCTAGATTTTGCTAACACTACATGCATTCATGATTGTGCTACAGTTTTTTTTATAAAATCTTACATTACCACAAGCTCCCGTCCGCAGGTGGCATAGTATAGAGAAACCATTTGTCCATTCTAGTTGTGTGTATAATAGTAGAAATAAAAGTAGAAATAATAATTTGACGTTTTATATGTTTTCATGATCTCAAGAAGAAATCTTTGAGGATTTATATTTTGAATATCTTAAGTGCTTTAATGGGAAAAAAGAGTATCTTGGTAACTGAAATTATTTTTGAAACTTTGCCATCACTGTTTTTATACACCAAGCTACATTATTAAAATGTTCTTAAATCAGTTGCCTTTTATTTGGGCAACTTCATAAAAAAGAAAAACATCTGATGGGTAGAAAAGGATACCAGGGAGAACCAGATACATCATGTAAAATACACATTATTTTCATTCTAAAACTGCTCTTTTTCCCAACATGATTTTCAGCATCTCTAGTCAAATCGCTTTTTGGTTTTCGCTTTGTGTTCCTCTTAAACAAAAAGAATCATGCTTGTTGACATTAGTTATGGATTCCATATGTCTGTCACATTTCAGTAATAAAAATAACTACTGTGCTAATAATTTCAGTTTAACACAGAAGCAGGTTTTTTTCAGGATAAATACAATATACTTTTCCCATCTCAATGTTGTTGGGCTTTTTTAGAGCTCAGAATCACAGGGTGGTTGAGGTTGGAAGGGACCTCTGGAGGTCATCTGGTCCAATGCCTTTGCTCAAGCAAGGGTCCTGTAAAACGGGTTGCTCAGGACGATGTTATTTGTGTCTCCCCCTGCCCCTGCAATCTTTCCATGGTTTAATTTGCAGCACTGAAGGCAGAACTTTGAGAAAAAATGTCACTGTTAATTCAAAGGACAGCTTTTTAGTATCTCCAAGGATGGAGACTCCACAACCTCTCTGGGCAACCTGTGCCAGTGCTCGGTCACCCTCACAGTAAAAAGTGTTTCCTGATGTTCAAGTAGGACCCTCCTGTGTTTCAGTTTGTGTCGATCACTCCGGTCACTGGGCACAGCTGAAAAGAGCCTGGCTCCATTCCCTATGCACCCTCCCTTCAGGTATTTATGTATATTAATAAGATCCTGCTCAGCCTTTCTTCTCCAGGCTGAACAGTCCCAGCTCTCTCAGCCTTTCCTCATATGAGAGGTGCTCCAGTCCCTTCATCATCTTAGTGGCCCTTCACTGGACTCTCTTCAGGATGTCTGTCTCTCTCTTGTACTGAGGAGCCCAGAATCGGCCACAGTACCCCAGGTGTGGCCTCACTAGTGCTGAATAAAGGGGAAGGATGACCTCCCTCCACCTGCTGGCAGCACTCCTCCTAACGCAGCCCAGGATGCCATTAGCCCTCTGCCGCAAAGGCAGATTGTTGGCTCATGGACAGGGTGGTGTCCACCAGAACCCCCCAGGTCCTTTTCTGCAGAGCTGCTTTCCTTTTCTCCAAAGCTGCTTGACTCTTAGAATATGTAAATTGAAGTCAGTTACTAATTTTTGTGGTTATACCTTTGATGTCAGTACAGACATTATAGTTGTTTCGCATTGTTTTGAAAACTTAAGAACACAGAGCTGGTTTGTTTCTTCTATTCTGCTTGTCCATTGTGAGGTGATGACTTCAGTAGCAGCTGAGGCTACTGAGCACATCAAAAGATCAACACCCTTACTGTGTAAACTTTGGTTTATGAATTTAAAATTGTTAACTTTTTTCCCTCAAGTTATGTCATAATAGCATCTGAAGTAGATTTCATAATAAATAAGGCTTTATGCCAGCAAAACATTAATAGAGCTCATACTGTAAAAATAAGATTAGGCTGGTGAATTTAGGCTTCCTTCCAATAAATTAGTTGAATACTGGACTGATGCCTTGGCCAGTTTTTAAAGAATGATTTTGTAGTTTCTTTTGGCATCATAGCCTAAAGCCACTTTGAGGGGAACTTGGTCTTTTCAGTTTCTTAAAGATGTTCAGTAATGCGGTTGCCCAGCTGCTTTTAGTCTGTGACTTTATTTAGGTTGCAAAATAACATAAGTGTACCTGTGTTTATGCACTCCCTCACACGTATTTACTCACATGTGTATGTATTCTAATGTGGCTTCACTTACTCAGCAGTAAACTAATATACATTGCAATGATAATGAGGTCACCGAGTTGTCATGTGCCTCAATATTCAACAGTTATTTTGTGGTTATATTTTTTTATTAAAGGGAAAAAAAGTAGACTTCTAGAGTATCTTTTAAAAATTGATAAATAAATCTCAAGATCACCCTTCTGCTTTTTACTGGGGAAGGCTTGTTTTGAAAACTAGCAGACCAGTTTAGTTTTTAATATTCCCAGGTTTTCCGTTTTATTTGTTCAAAAGCTGTTCTTAAATAATAAGATTGGGGAAAGGAAAAGCAAATATAATAGACATTTTCTGATAAGAACTGAGATTCTTTAGTAAACGTTCTCACAGTATTGCTAACAACAGTTTTATTTTGAAAGAAGGGGATCCAGCTGACTGAAATTGTACCATAAAAAAATGCATTTAAGTATTTTCATGTCCTTGCTTAAAATGAGAAAGCTGTGCCTGGAGAGCTAAACCTTTGATTAACCAATTTTATATAAAATTTGTGGTGCATTTTAAATGCATTTTTTTCTTAATCTGTGAAATCTGTTCATTGCTTAAAAGATGCTGTGTGGGAAACTTAATAAATACATAATTCTTTAGTATTGGATATAATTATTTATCTGTGTCCATAAAAATCAATCTTTTGCAAATTAAGTTGTTCTGAAAGAACTTGAGTAAAGGTTTTGTAATTTATCCATAGGTTATTGGAGTGGCATGGGATTAGCCTTAAAACTCCCAGTAAATTTGTGGGTGGAAGGAGGGACAATAAAATAACAGTGCTTTATTTTACACACATATCAGTGATGCTATTCACATATTAAATCCTCTGCCAGTTAGGGCATAAGTCCCTGCTGTGCTTTCTAGAAGACTGAAGGCATGTGTTGAGCATTACAGAATTCCCAATGTTTTAAATTATGTCGAGAAAATGTTCTGATTAATAAATAACAGTTAATTGTTGTATACTATTTTATGAGAATATTTTTTGCTAGTGTTCTCCAGTATTACAAAAATGGGCACATTTAATGAGATCAGTTGTGTTTTCAGTCATCTTACATAAAATTGGAAACATAAACATTACTTGGATAAAACAGAAATACAAAATGTGCAAAAACATGCCAGTGAGAAATGCTTCTACATTTTGAAAAGTTACTCCAGTTGAGAAGGAACAGTTTCTAATATGTATTATTCCTGAAGAAGAGAGCAAAGTAGTTATACTGTAAACACAAGAAACACTGTCCTTGTTTCTTGCAGTTTGTAATATGATTACAGCTAACTTATTGTCATTAAAAAGCTCTCCTTTGCTGCCTTAGATGAAAAGCAGATCTTTCTCAAAGGTATTGACTTACTTTTGAAAGGCACTGGGTTGTACAAATACCAGTGTTTAGAAAGGTCCTTTTATATTTTTCAAATGCCAGCAGCAAAGGAGTTAAGCATTATATAAATGGAAAGAAAAATGAACAGAAGAAACACTGTAGCTTAGTCTTTGTAATATTACCACAAATATAGCCTGATTTTCATAATATTACTGCAAATATAAGTCAAAGAAATCATGTGAAAGGAAGCCTCAGACAGATTTCTTTTATAGTAACTTTCTAATACTTATGTTTTTGCAGGGGAAGTCCGTTTGACTCCAGAGGACTTTGCCAGAGCTCAAAAATATTGCAAATATGCTGGCAGTGCTTTGCAATATGAAGATGTGAGCACTGCTGTGCAGAATCTACAGAAGGCCCTCAAGTTACTGATTACGGGCAGAGAATGAAGCCTTTATCTGACAGATTCATGTCTTTTGCCTAAAGAACTAACAGTTTATTACTGTACCTGTTAGGGGAGTGGAGTTATACAGAAGTCCTCAATCCCATCACCCATGACAATGAAATCACTGTTTCAGTGTCAGATTAGCAATTAATGGTACAGTAGGAATCTCTGTTTTCATTTTACAAACAGTGGAGCTAGAAACATACCAATGCAGTGGCTTGATGTAAGCAAAATACTGAAGAAAGTACTGTGAGCACTGCCCAAGAGTTAGAATTCATCTTGCAATATTTAGATTATCAGAATGGGAAAATGCTGAATCTGTAAAAAAACTTGAGTATAAGAATGTTCTGCTAAAATTCTTACTCTGATTTTATTATTTCAAACAATTATTTAATAATAGCTTTAAAATGGTAACTAAGATTAGTGCTTTCCTCCTGAAATGAGAGCATGTGAGAAGGCTGACAGATCCACTGTGGGAAGGACTTTTTTCTATACATAAATTATTTGGGTATTATCTGAGACGTAAGTCACAGTTGAGGGAGACTTGAGGACATTTGTATTTCATTTTAAAACATGCTGGAAAAAACATCTCTTGATACTTCAGAGAGAATCATTTTGATGGTGTTCCAACCCAATCCCCTACAACTGTACGGACTGCTACATGTATTCTTGATTATTGGTTCTTGCTCCTTTTGTGTGGATACTTACAATTTTGTATATGTATGGGTAAGAAAGTACTAATATTTATCAGAGATGATCCTGAAACCGGAAGCAGAGATTCTAAACAACATGAACTTTTAGGGAGATTACTTCCTAGCTGTTACATCATTTTAAGAGGCTGAAACAAAGGCCTGTTCTTCAGCCATTAAAGCAGTATAGGTTCATCTCTGGTATTAGTGTCATAGAGCTTTGTATTTCCAGCTAATATTCTTCCTGTCTGCTTTGTTGTGGAGACTTTTTGGACTTGGGATTTAATTAAAGTATCTTGGAAACTGAATTTTGAGTCATTATGAGGTCTGCCCTTGCAATTATAGAGCTCTTGATTGTTAAAAATCCATCCATGCTGTTTAAAAGAAAGAAAAAGTAGTCTTTTAACTAATGTGTCATAATAATTGAGTACACTGTAAAGCGTCTGATTTATATAATAATTTTAATGACATATTTTCTGACCTGTCTTTCCTTCCAAGCTGCCAGATCAAATCCACGTATTCCTTATAGCTGCACTGTTTTGCAGTGACTCAAATAAGTCTGATATTCAAAGCAAAAGGATGAGGAAGAAAAAATCAAACATAAGCATGCATTAAAGTTTACCTGGTCATATCCTTTTAAGAGTGTAGAGTTTTTGACAGCAGGTTTGAAAAGGGTAGTATGAAACTTGTAAACGTATGCTTAAGCATTTTAGTTGCCTGAGATTTAAAAGATAAAACATCTGGTATTGTTTGTGTTGCTTTCTGATATGCAATAGCATGCTAATCTGGACAGTGATTTGGATTAGATTTTAATTATTTTGGGAAATTTAGAAGAAATCAGTCTGAAACTTTTTTGACAGTAATGCTGTACAGACCTGGGCAGTAAGCCTGTGTTTTGTACAGTGCTTCATGCAAGATAGATCCCTCACTCCAGTATCAAACTGAAATACTGTAAATTATTCCATGTATATTGTAGTGGTGTTACACCATGCTGGAAAAGCTGCTTTTCAGTTGAAAGAAGGATGCAGAATATTGATCTATGTAGAAATATATATATTGCATTGCTATAAAAAATGAGAAGTTGCTTTCATTTAGGGATCATATCACTATTTACTAATACCAGCTTTAGTCCCCAACACTTGAAGGAGGAAAGTCACTTTTCCTGTTTCTATTTATAAAATAATTAAAGGAACTTTGGGCCTTTTGTATTACATGGAAAAATAAGCAAGCTGTGGTATAATACTGTATTAATTTGAGGCTTTTCAATTAAAATTGATGTTATTTTTTTGGTGATTGAGTGATATGAAATGGAAGTACATAACTAAGAAGGGTGAAAACAAAAATTTAAGTATTTCTTAAAGTGTATAAAAGATGTCTGTTGGCCATGATTATATTGAACCTCTAGGTTCCTCTAGGAAACCAGGGAATCATCAGTGAAAAAGTGATAAGCAGTGAAAAAGCCATAAGCAATTTTGTTGAGTGATCATTTACAAATGTGTAACCTTCTGCCTAGAAAGAAATTAAAATAAGTGTTTCTGAGGGGAATGGAGATTAAAATGCTAATATAAAATTTAAGAATTTCTTAGAGAAGCTATCAGGACTTTCTTTCTGCAAATAAATTAGTGTTCAGAAGATTTATCATATAAAATGCTCATGAATTCTGTAAAATTAAACATATCCTGATACTGACCTTCAGACCACAATACCTGAACTAGCATATTGAGTTTTATTTTGCATAAAATTATTTTGCTCTGATCGTTTATTTTTTAATTGAGAAGTTTTGCAACAGCCCATCAAACCATGTTTGAAGTCACATCTTTAAGCTGCTAACATTTGATGCAGCAGACTGAGTATTTATCATCCAAACTGATGCCTAAAGTAAATTATAGCAAAATGTTTCCATTCCATTACGTATAGCCTCTGGGACAGCTTTAAATGTGGCAGATAGTCCAATAGTACAAACCAGTGTTGCAGAACAATGCAAAAAGTGTACATATTTGAAAATGTCAGGAGAATGTAGGTAGATAGCCTGTAATTATTCCAAATTGGAATTTGTGGTAGGCACTGGAATTTATGGCCCCATTGTTAAATATTGTGTGAGCTTTAAGTGTGGATTGATTCATTTTACAGCCACTCTGAATGATAAAGTATCAACCCATAGCTCCTCTTAAACCAATTCCCAACATGTATGAGTACAGTATTAAATAAAGGAGAGTGCCATTTTTGTTGCATGCTACAGCCAACAACTCTCTCTTCTTCAGTGTGATTGCCGCCTACATGCTTGTTGGCCTTTCTTCTTTGGATTGTGAGTTCCCAATCTTCTCAGTCTTGCTTAAGAAAGGAGAAAGAAGCATATTCTGACAGATACTCCATACTCAGTTTTGCTACTTATGTAAGCTAGAATTTTAGTAAATCTGTTCAATGTTTGTTACTTGCAAGGCTTTTGGTATTACTTAATGTTTTTGCAGTTCTTTATACTTTCACCTCTCTGCAGGGAAAGTTCCATATTACACTTCAGGATTCCTACAAAAGTCTTTGAAAATTGTCTTGCAGATCAGGTCGGTCTTTGTTTCTGAAATGGTGGAGATTTTTTTTTCAAATGTGCACTAATTGGATTTACTAATACTGGAGGTGTTCTTTTCAAATTGTTGCAGTCATTTCAGGTGGAATTTGTAATGATGTCCTTTGTAAGTGAAGTTTCTGAAGCACAGACGTAAGTATGATCATATTCCAGAATGTGACTGTAATTGTAGTATTTGATGCTATATGATTCTTACCTATGACAAATTGACAACAGAGAAATTTACTGTCTGAAG